CAAAGACTATGATAAATTCTAAAAATTGCAGCTGAAACTCGTACCTGTTCACAACAAGGTCTGAGGTAGTTTAGAACCACTCTATGAGAAAGAAGGAAAGGGATTTAATGCACAAAAATTTGAAGATACAATTATAATTGCTACAGAGAAGGGGAGTGTAACAAAGTGTAAAACAGATTTAAACTACTGTCTGTCAGGAAAGAGGAGCTAAACACAGAAATAAGTGAAAAAGTTCACTAAAAGCTAAACTTCTATTTAGCCTGGCTCTGAACATTAACATTCACTACAAAACAAACAAACAAACAAAACAACAAATCCAACAACAATAATGAAATTGAGCAAAGCAGAAAGGAAATTTTACAAGAGACTGGACAAGGTTAACAGACATAGGGTCCAAATTGTGAAGTAGCACTGAACTTCACAAAGTGAATCCACATGCTCAGTGTGATGTTTGGATCTCTGACAGCTGAAATACCTTCACACAGGGACACTGAAAAGTTACAAATGCTTTCAAGATTCACTTTAGATGATGCAGTTTATTTAGAAAAGAATATTTATGTACAATCAATGCGTTAAGCAATGCACAACTAACAAACTGAGCATATATCTGGTGCATCAGGGTGAGAAAGAAATACTTACATTTATATTTAAGCATAATTTAGATTAACCGGCACAAAACCTGACCTACTTCTTAAGTCAACAGTAAACTTCTTACTGATTTTTCTCTTAAGGGTAACAGATTTTAAACAGATTATGGAAGCACAAGGTCCAAAAGGGTTAGTATTTTGCATATCCATAGACAGTCAAATTTAAATGCTGCTCACTAGCACTTGTCAGCCTAGTGGCAGTTGCCTTTAAAGTCTGATGTGAGTGAAAGGGGATGAGGATATTTTATTCAGCATATGACAAAGAAGAAAAATAAAGAAAGTTTTAAAATTCCTTAAAATATCACAATATGGAGGAAAGGTGCAGGGAACACCAGTGATATGATGCTAGATAGGGAGGAAAAGAGAAGAAGTAACAAGCAGATTGGGGAATGCATGTAGGAAAAAGTAACAGCTGAGAAGACTGGAGACAAACAGAACTAGCTCAGACCACAAGAATCATATCTTTGTGTTGCTCTTCCCATAAAAAACTACTGAAGCCTCACTCCCTACGTTCTCTTTTAGTGCTCACATTCAGGTGAGTGAGATTCCTTAACAAAATTCCCTAAAAACAGAAAGGCCACGCAGAAACACATCTTTGCCAATAGTCACTTCAACTTGGGTAACACATACATTTTCTTTGCTATATATGCACAGATGCAACCATGCAATTCCATACCAGTCTTTCCCTTAAACTGCTCCTTGCAACACCAGCTCTTCCTTTAACTGACATTTTTAAATCTAATCATCTACCTTCCATGAATTTTGTATTATTGTATAAAAACATTCACTTAAGTATTTACCTCTCAAAATGAATAAGGGACATAATTCCTGAAATAGATCCAAAGAAGAAGAAGAAGAAATTCTTTACTGTGAGGGTGGTGAGACACTGGAACAGGTTGCTGAGAGAAGCTGTGGATGTCCCATCCCTGAAGGTGTTCAAGGCCAGGTTGAATGGGGCTCTGAGTAACCTGGTCTAGTGAAGGTGTCTCTGCCCATGGCAGGGAGGCTGGAACTCGACGATCTTTAAGGTCCCTTCCAATCTGAATCATTCTATGATTCCCTGCTTCCTCTACTGAAAAGAAGCTGTGATAACTACTGTTCACTGGCACATAGCTCAGACACACAAACCCTCATCTGAACAGTAATACTGTCCAACTTACTTGATATTTCAGGAGTCAGCTGTACTTTTTTGGACATGTAGAATTTGGTGTAAAAGACCATATAGATTTGTTTTGTAAATTCCTCAGACTACTAAATATAGACTGAAGTTGTTCATGTATATCTGCCAAATCTCAGGAGTCACTGGATAATTCAGAAAATTATGACAAACTAGGTTATCTTGTTTTAACCAAGCATCTGCACAAAGAGAATAGATGTGCCAAGATGATAAATACGAAAAGAATGAGTAAAAGTTCATTTTACCAATAGTGCAGCTTTCCTCCTCTATTACAGATTAGGGCCTAAAGTAGTAGGAGGCACTGGAAAGGTATGTTTACACCTGTGCAGGGTGATGCCACCACTCATTCAAGCTTTTAGTAATCTGAACTTCAATTCCATTATGGTTATGTAAGGAATCAATTATCATTTTTTGCCAAACACCGAACTGTATTATTCTATTAAGGCTGGAAGGAATGAGTAAGAGAAGAGAAGTAATTCTCTAATGACTGTTTGGTGATAATGTCTAATGCCAAGGGTGGAAGGAACTGATTCTTCACCTCCACCATTTGTATGTATTGTAGTAATGAAACACATACAGAATGATAAAACTGGTATGTAGTTGTACTGCCAGTCAGTCTATTGGTAAATGACAGATATCTGTAGTTTCCTCATTCTATACTGAAGTTTTTAATTTGGACTTTCTTTCTCTAGGAAAAGCAGCAGGGTGGCTTTAAAACTTTTCACAGTAAACAGTCAAACACAGACCCAGATTCTATCATGGAATATGAGTGGGACTTTGACACTACCTCAGCCAAAGCTTTGCAATGAAACCTTGGGAAGGGCCAAAAAGACTGCAGGGTGTTTTTGAGCAGTTAACTGAAATCATATGAAGGCTCACTCTGTAAACACTGCAAGCCATAGCAGACAAGGCAGCTAGGAGGAATATCTGTGTTCTTTGGACTGCAGCCCTGTCTTTGAAATTAGCATTTAACTTGCTCTATGTTTTATACACCCCAGCCAAAACACTAATACTTGACAACTGGGCAACAAAGCACTTTGGACCTGCTCACCCATACCTTGTTTGGACATTAGCACTTAAGCAACCATAACATAGTCACCATCCTGCCATATCACAGGAGTAGCACTTCACACATGCCTGAAGACATTGTATTTGTTTGTTTGTTTGTTTTTAGTTTTGGAGCTTTAGAGCCTGTTCTAAATTCAAGCTACATAATTAGCTACTAGCTCGATTTAACATATATATATGTGTGCACACATATATGAATATTTAGGTACTCCTAAAACCTGACTCAGAACTTTTATTTTTGTATCCTGAACAAAGTTTTGTGGAGCTTCTATATATATATAAGTTAACTAGTACAACTGACAACAACAATCAGTTCAGAGAGAACTAATGATTCTAATCTAAATAGACCGTTCATTGAGAAACTGGGATGAGAACCAGGCCTCAAGCATCTCCTAGGATCTAAAAACCATTATTTCTGAAGCATGGTTTAGTCCTCTGGCAACTAGTATCATGACACACAAGCCTAAACGTTTACTCTTAAATATATTAATTCTTACTGGCTCTGATTATTTGCTCACTACTCTAGCCACAACAACAAAGTTACCAATGCATTCACTTGCTTATTTGACAGTATACTAACACCTGTCAGAATATCAGCCAATTAATATCTTCATAGAGAAATGCAATGTATAGCATGTGAAATCAAATCTAAGTTCTAGTTCCTTACTGAGTGTCTCTGAACGGGCATCACTTTATTACCAGAACTACGAACACACAACAATCAGACAAGAATGGCATTAACTTTGTCTTCTAATTTTTGTACTGAACATTTAATTAGATTGGAACGATTACAGACATCTTTTGCTTTCTTTCATGGAAACCAACTCTCATCAAGTCAGATACTCAACCGAAAATCCTCTAATGTTACCATTAGTAAAGATGAAGAGGCACGAAATTGAATTTTTTAGTAATGCTGAGAAGCATTGAGCTCTTACATGAGTTGTCATAATAAACAAGAAAACCTGATTTTCGTGAGGAAAAAAAGAAAGAAAGGGAGCTCTAAAGGAAGGAAACTGCAATGAAAAAGAGTTCCTACTCTAAGAAAATTGGTATATCTCCTCTGTGCTGTCTTTTACACTAGATTTGGGTTAACCTCTCTCATTGCAATTCCATTTAACAAGTTGTTTGACCTTATTTTAGAGCTGATTGGAAACGGCTTGGAAACAGAGCTGAACAATTTTGTCTCACTTAAAAAATTAATTTTCCCAGATAATAATTTTCCCCTACATTTCTGTGAATAAAAAAACCTTTTATTTGCATTTCGGAAAAGTTAACTAAACAAAAAGATTTTTAGAAACGCCTTTGTTGAGCTCCACATGAGTTAAGTCTAAATCTGAATTCAACCCATGGAAGAAAAACTGAGAAAATGAGGCCTAGGGAACTTAAAGATACTAAAGTACCAAATAGAATTAATGGTTCGATAATGACAATACAGTTAGTTGCAGTATGTAGAAATCTAACAGCAGGTCTGTTTCATAGTTTCTGATGAGAAAGCCACGAATGCCTGGTCAGTTCTGCTCTATCCTTGTTGCAAATAAAATATGAGTGATCGCACAGTTCTGAATAACTATAGTATTTCATCACTCTGATTAAACCCTGATACTAAGCCATAACAGCACTACTTACTTTCACTGAAAGGAAAAGCAAAGGTAAAAAAGAAAAGAAAAAAAAACTTCAGAAGAATATACAGGAAGTACATTTGAAATTGGGAGTCAATAAATACAGACAATAATTAGACAGGATGCAAACATTCACACCAAACCACAACTCAATTCTGTGTGGCGTCTTCCTCTGTCACTAGTAATACGTTGCTGATACAACGTTTAAGAGAAGAGACCTCTTCTAGGCAATACAGGTATTAGGGGTGTTTGTTGGTGGGTAATATTAGAAGACCAAGCAGAGTTCAGCTCTCTGAAAACATTATTTCTTTGAATAAAAAGGGTAAAGGTTGAAAATGTGAAGTTGTGGCAGGGCTTGCCTTAAAACCCCAGGAGCTCACTGGGCTCACCTTGGTGACAGGTTCTAAGAGCAACTCTGTATAAAATAAAGACCCAGAGAAGGGCCATTGTGAGTAAGTCCAATACTAATACCTGCAGGAAGAGACAATGCAAAGTTGTTGGGTTTTTTATTGATTTATGGGGGTAAGGAAATGAAGGGTCTACAGGACCTTGGAGTTTTTGCTCTGGGAATCTCAGATATGTTCATTCATATTCTTGGCAGAGAGTGAATATCATGGGAAATAGACACTTCTGTTCCACAATGAGTCACAGGACAAGATCAAAAAGATTTGCAGTAGGTTATAGTCTACAAAATCATAAAAATTAATTTTGTATCATAAAAATTAATTGTGCACATTAGAGACTGCAAATGGAAAAATCCCATTCTTTCTCTGGGAGCCTAGACTCAGAACAGCTGGCACAACCTTTTCCTAATTTTTTTTTTTAACATTCTCTACCACAGTGACTACTAAATACTAACAGCTAGAAAGTTATGCCCTTTGCTCCACAGTTTGACAAAAGCAGACTTGTTTGATCAAAGTGCAAAGAAATACCATCACTCACACAAAAGGACTTATATCTACCAAAGGCAAGACACACTCCATGCATCTCAGTAGTTCCAGCATGGATTACAACAGGAGAAATTTTCTGCTTTTACTTTTCAAAGGGAAAAAAATTTCAACTTTTTGGATCTATACTTAAACAAGAGGGTGGTGTCCCCAGTAGCTGGTCTCAATTCTTTCATGCTCCAAAGGCTGCTAAACCATAAGGTAATCAGCCCCACAGATGAGGAGGTGACTGTCACAAGCAAAATCCTGTCCCAGAACTCCAGACTGTCTGAGGCAGCTGTAGCACATACATTAGAAGCTTTATACAGCACAATGGGCATCCATCTTCACCAACAAGCATTCACAAGTCAGGAGACAGCAGTGGGAAGGGAGAGGACTGTCTGAACTAAACTGTAATTTGGCAATGAAAATACTGTAATATTATTGATAAAGCCTAATCAATTTTATTTGAAAGAAGAAAGAACGCTTTTCTTATTAGAAATTTCCTCTGATTCACTGCTACCACCGATTATATTTCTTTTTGGGTTTAGCACAACTAGTATCCAACAGGGAAATTATTTCAAATTAAGTAGTGTGATAAATTAACATACAATTCACTATGTTGATATAACTCATTTTATCACTATGATTATGCAAAGCAAAACCGTATTTATCCTGCACCAGCTTTGTTTTCTTCTGACAAGGCTATTTATCACCATAGGAAATTCCAAGTTCATAAAACTGGTTAGCTGACATTTCCAATACAATATACTTTGTGAGGAGTAACAATCCTCCTAATCAATTTTGCCAATTACATCAGCATTTGTCTTAAAACAAAATGTCTTTATCCCATACTGAAAGACCAACATGGAGTTCTTCCTAAAAGTCATGCAGGTCTAGAGAGTAAGAGACTGCATCATCATCAGTGTGAAAACAGAATAAGCAAAGTAGCAGGCAATGCAATCCAGACAGACACGGATGGATAATGAATTCTGTAACTGTAAAGTAAGAACCAAATTTTTTACAATACAGCGCAAAAGTATCATATTTTGTGAGGCTCATGAGAAATGTTAATGCACACATAGCCTGTGAATTTTTAGCTCCAAACTGTAAAACAATTTTTCTTGGAAAAATGTAAGTTATCTGCAAATTCTTCTTTCTGTATTTGAACAACTGCTTGTCAGTGACCAGATGCAGTTCCACTTTTCTAAACCAAACATTTTTGATGATCTGTTGCAAGCTGTCTTAGAAACGCAGGCAAAATTTAATCATTTTCAGGAGTGAAAAAATATGCTATTCTTCAAGATGGATGTTTGATTTAGGAATTTCCTTTTTGAGTGTAAGAAATGACAATTTTGTACTTTGAAAAGTCAACTAAGGTCAAGATTAATATAGATACATTAATTAGTTTGTTGATATCATGAATGCTTTTCTTGTCATCCCACTGATGAATGAGGGAATTTGCATCTCAGCAGGTAAACATGTTTGATACTTCCTTAATCTACTGTACAGCATTGACTACAGCCAAAAATAAGAGACAAACTGGAATACAGGGTCAAAATGATTTAGAAAACAGATTACTAGTTACAAAGGAATATGAATGAAGAATCACTTTTAAAAATAACATATATGCTGGACTGATGTGTTCCATAAATATTTTTTTTTTGCTAATGAAAGCCTCTAGGGAACAAATACTTATTTCATATGCCTTCCATTCTGCTCCAGTAATTTTAGATTTCCACTGTAGCTCTGCCTTTTATTTCCTTCTGTTTTCCTTGCCTTGGTTAGATTAGAGAGGTAGGGTGTTAATGGGGTAATTGATGAGGATTGAAGACCTATTTTCTCACCCCTTGAAGACCAGCCTGATTTGAACAAATTGAGGAGAGTGAAGCAGTCTCTTCATGTGCTCAGGAAAAGCCTTTTCCATTTCAACGTTTCCAGCTTTCAGACATGGTCCCCTTCGTTCACAAAGAAAGAACAGGTGCCAGCACAAGAAGGTTCTGAATAATTTCACAGAATGTCATCAAGGCTGCAAAAGCTCCCTTTCAACCTTCTTTATTGTTGGTGAGCATGTGAACACAAGGTGGATCCAGGAGGGGAATGCAGGGGACTAGTGCTTGCAGCTCAAACAGGGCGAGAAACAAGCTACTGTCCAGCAGTCCCCACCTCTGTTGATGCCACTTCCTTACTACTCTCGTCCTTGTGGGTACTGTTTTGTGCTGGGCACTCAAAATGCACACAGTGAAACACCTGGAGAGAACGAAAAATGAAGATAAAGCAAAACAATTTAATGCTGGCAAAAGCACAATCAAAGTAAGATGAAGTCTATATGGAAGTGTGCAGGCCAGATCAATGACAAAGTAATTAGTCAAATTAGAATGTTTCGCCATGAGGTCAAAAACATTTATCCATGGGCAATAAACTTTAGAAAAGGACACCAGTGGAGCAAGAGAAGGCCTTCAAAATATACCAACCTTTACATATGGCACTAAAAATCAGAAAAATACTTCAAAAGTGGATAGAGATATTTGTAAATTATTCTTTTCCTTGCCAAGTAGCAGAAATATCTACTACATGCTATCAGATGACAACAACAATTATATTGTCTTAAACATATCTTACAATATAATTACTTCCTCAAAAGGCTGAATGTTCACGTACACTAGAAATGAAATTTAAATCATTACCAACATGATTTTATTTCAAGATTGCCCTCTGCTGTAACAGCAATGGTAGCTCTACAGACATGTCCTGGAGTATGTAGAAAGGCATTCAGAGTGTCCACGGAGGCTGCTGCTTCATCAGATGAAATATTCCATTTCAAACAGTGATCATTTACTGATGTTTCAAACAATATCTGGGACCAGTGTACAGGTGACTGTATCTTAGAGGACCATCTGTTTAAGCATTTTTTCCATTTTATTTTCTACTTTACTTACTCTTACTTCTACTTACTTCTTGTTCTTGAAGTGCCTGGGAGGAGAAGGGGGAGGAACTCTTTAAAATTGTTACAAAACTTCTTTCCATATGATTTCTCATTGCTACGAATTGCACAACTTTGCTACAGACTAAACATAAATCTTTTCTTATACTGTTTTAAAATCTGCTATTTTCTCATGCCTTATTGTTTTAAAGCTAAAGCTTCATGAATATTAAAACCTGAATTTTAAAACTACTGTCTCGTCTTAACTTTGTATGCTTTTATGACATTTTCTATTATTCTTGTTGAGAGCAGATCATGTTTTTAAAGCTCTTCTCACAAACAAAGATAATCTCTTATAATCTTAACTGCCCTTTCCCAGACCCTTTCAAGTTAATGTGGGCAAAATCAAATACCATAAACAAGACATGGACATACTACATATTCATACAAGACTACATAATATTATATTTTCTATCCTTTCTTCAATACAACCTAAAATCCTATTGTTCTTTTTGACCATCCCTGCTCAAGTGCACACTGAGCAGACATCTGTGTTGACATGTCTGCAATAGCCCCAGGTCTTTTTTGAGGATGTAGCTAGTTAATTCCAATTCTGACAGCACACATGAAACGAATAAAAAAGTATTCACAGTCACTCGTTTTTTTTTTTTTAATCCCCATTATATTTTCTTGTGCCTCTCAGTGTAAGAATTCTTGCAGTTCTTTATACAGATACATGGTGATGCATGCTTATATTTCTATATTTATGTACATGCTCACATGCATTGCTATGCCTTTATAATATATACACTTATGAACAGATTACAAATCCACACTCATAGCCACACACAGACACATGTGCACAAAATGGTTTTTCTCTGCTATTCTTCTGGTGACTTTTTTTCTGAAGCTGAACTAATTCCTACAGCGGCATGAATTCTCTCCGTCTGTTACAGTTCTTGAGAAGCTGATTTTTGTATTTAGTTACACTTCTCGAGAAGCCCCTTTTGTACTCATCTCGCCCCCGTGTTTTTAAAGTAACAGCTATTCTCATTTTTCCAGCTGCACTTACAAGGATAAGGCCTTGCAGAAAAGAACATTCTCTCACCTCTTTAAGATGCTGCTTTCCTTGAAAGGCAGCACAGTCTAATGAATGGGATAGAAGCCTTCAAATCAGAAGATTCCATATTTCTACTGTATCTCACAACAGTAGTGTTATCATTTAAAACCTCACTTTACATAGTGATGCAGATTTTTTAAAAACAGTGTGGGTAGCACTAAAATTTATCTAATACTAGTCTAGAAAGTCAGAAGTACCTGATCCTTATATTCTAAAATTAATTTTTACTGATTCTTTCATACTAAATTCTTAATGCTCAAAACATCTGGTACATTAACAAGCCTGTGAATTTAGAACATTTTTCTCAGTTACTCTGCCACATCAAAATGTAAAGAATAGAGCATGTGAGAGAAGCATAAGACTGAGAAGCACAACTGAGCTCAACCGTTTCAGCTGGTATCGGAATTAAGTATTTCAGAACAGTATTACTAAAACAAAGAATCCTGCACGTGTTTCTCTCAAAAGAAAGAGATGACAGTTCAGCATCATCCTCTGACCCACATCAGTTATACTTCTCATGGATATTTTAAGAAAGGTCAGACATACAAAGAAGGAAGGCCAAGTACATACACACTGGTGCAGTAATTTGTAAGATAAAGCTCTCACATCAGCAACTAGGTGTCCTTTCCAGGTCAGTAATACTGAAGAGGAATAACAAGGTAAACTTACATAAAGTATCAGGTGACCTGTCTGACAAATAAATGAAGACAAGAACTAAGGAAAAGTAATCCTTTTCTCTACAAAAGTAGCATGTTTGGGAGCTCAAGAAAAAAACCCAAAGTTACAATTGTATCTTGTTCTAATATACCAAAAAAAAATTCAAATATCAGGTCAAAAAATCACTGAACATCACGTCTTCCAAAACCTGGAAAACATGGCAAAGGTAAAAACAAGTTTAAAAGATTAAATAATTCACAAAGTGGAGAAATTTTATGGGATTTTTTTGCAAGTCCAAAAGTCAACTCTTCACTTGGGGAAGTACAGATTGTGCTTCAAAGTTCAAAGGTATGTGTTGGTACAACAAGCAAGGAGTATTTTTGTACCTATTACAATAATACTCCTTGATAAAAATATGCTGCCATTAGTATATTTTATTTAAAATGAGAATGGTTTGACATAATATGCAACCAGCTGTGGGCAAATAATTATGGAAACTGCTGGTATTCTTACTGAAGAGACTACTGAGACTACAGACTCCAGAACAAACCAAGACTTCAGTTACACTATTATTATTTAAATCAGAAATATGAAAAATATCTTGCTTCCTTGTTTGGAAAGTTAAAATTTATGCCAAAATATTACAGACCATTTGTTTAATATATCTATAGATACATAAAAGTAATTTAGTAATAATGTGCACACCGATTATGTTCCTACTTTACAGGATTTAGGAGAAACTAAAAAATAATAATAAAAAAACTAAACGAAATTAGTGTTGGGTACAGATTTTAGAAACAAAAGAGGAAAAGACCAAGAACACCAGCATGTGTTTATAATTCCACTGCGCCACTACATGAATAGCTGTAACCTCAATTTACACATACTGTTCTTCACTAGTTATGCAGTGCTCTATATAAATAAATTACACAGGATATTAAAATCCTTGAAAATAGTAACCAGTTTGAAACTGGAATTATGGTTAAAAGCCTATTACTCTTCAGGGCTTAAAGCTATCTTTAAGAATTAAAAGCTGAAAGTGATATATACTGTAGGCTGGTTTGCTAGGTTCACTCAATGCACCTCATTCTTTTTTGACAAAGAGTTGAGAACGTACAGACACTGGCACGAGAGGAAACAAGACTGTCATTATGCAGTTGACAAACTCTAACTAATCCAAATGTAAGAGTGCTATCCCAAGTTCTTTGTAGAAAGTGTGAAAGTACAACGGTTGGTGGTGAACTACACGTGTGGGATGTAGACATGCATGTGTATACACAGAAGCAGCAGCGTTTGGTGCCTCTTACAGTCTTCTCATATAAAGTCCTAATCTCACAAAGACTTACAAATATTATTAAATTCACATATTGTAAATTGTTTCATTGAAGTCAAGTGTAAAATCTGGACTTCATCTGAGACAATGCACAACGATTACGAAAGACAGAAGCACAAGTAAATAAAGAGAGGATGATACTGCACTTGGTTGGTTAAGGCCCATTTTTTTTTTCTGTATAAAATTAACAATATCTCTTGGTTTGGCCACTATTATTCAAATGATTTAACAGGTATGAAAATTAATTATAAATGAATCTTATGCAAATAAGATTTTCTAAAAAATATGGGATTTTTCTTACATTTTATTAATTAAGAAGATAATATAAAGGTGATAAAAACCAAGTAATCAGAGACCATACACCTTTCTAGTGTGCTAAAATGGCATTTTCATCGTTTATCGAATAAGGATTAGTTTAAAACCCAACCCAGTAGAAATGTTTGATGGCAGTGTGGAAAGGCCAAAACCAGGAACAGACAATAACATCGTTAAACACTCACATAAGAAAAGCATTCATTCTAATTTTGCTAGATTGCCAGAGCAAAAAAATTAGGCCTGTACATTTGAGAAGACCTTATCAATTTCACTGCAAGATATGAAAACCTGTATCGTGTATTCATGAAGAATGTAGGTTTTCTTAAAAGTTCCTTACCTCATTAGCTGTGTTGCGAGTTCCAACTATTCTGATAAAAGATGCAGGCTGTTTATCAAAAGTGATTGTTTGCCAGGATCTACAAAGAAAATCCAGAAAGACATACAAATATTGAACACAGTCACAAAAGAATGCATTCAAGTGACTGTAAGTACTATTATCACTTAATAGGGCAAATAGAGAAACACCTTCCATTGCCTGAATTTTCAGCACTCCTCCCTCATGTTTATTTTTAAGTGTCTTGACTCTGCTTATGTGATTTCGTACATACCTTATACCACTATAATTTGTGTGCAGGAACATTAATCATACTATTGTAGAAAGTTAAGAAAACGGTAAAAGAAAAGAAGCCTAAAATCTAAAATCCTTGGCTAATATTGACTGTATTAGATAAACAAAAGGTCAGACAAATAAAAGTAAATGCATTCTCCTGTTAACTACTCATGAGAAATCATCAGAGCTTGATTAAAGAAATTACAGATCTAAGGAAAAAAACCCAACAAAACAAACCACCCAAAAACTCAAATAAATTCATCTCACTCTAAGTGGAGCAGTAGAGGCAGAGGAGCCAAGCTTCCTTTGTGTGGGCCAAGGTCCTTTCAGAAAATTATAAGTGACACAAAGCATTCTTTGCAGGTCAGGTCGTGAAGATTTCCCCATCCTGACATAGAGGCAGTGAGGAGAACAGACCACTACTCCTTCAGAGCTGGCATATAACTTTTTGGGCTAGACTGAGAACACTAGAGGTACAGTGGGACCAGTATAATCTTTGCTTCTCGTTCATACTCTTCTGATCTCGGTGAGGGGCAGCACCTCAAGTAATGTAATACACAGCAGGAAAAGGACACAACTTCCTACATACCTTTGTGCTTATAGAACACACTGACAGTGAAAGAGAAGAAATAAAAAGAATACCAGGAAATAGAGGTTTCGGTTTGGTACCAGTCTTCCACTATACTAGATTAGTACTTGAACACATTAAAATTTAAATTATTTTACATTCATAAAACATGCAAATGAGATACACCATTTAATTTTTCGCTGAAACAGACTATCACAGATGGTTTCAGAAATAAAATGGAGATAGGTCTAACCTGATTAACTGACTACAGAAGTAAAACATTGGATAGTTTTCCAGAATGGGTTCAGAATACCTTCAGAAGTGTTCATATAAGAAAAAAGGACCAAAGCAAAACTGGAATAAAACACTACTCACCACCAATAGACTACCCTAAAGCCTGGCAGTATGAACAGATTGGCTGCTGACTATTTGTCAGACACTTGATTTTTCCCTTAGTAGGAAAAACCTTTTGTCACAAACATTGCATTTCTGGGATTAAATTAGTCTGCTATTACTTCTATCACTGCTGTCTGGCTGTTTTTGCTTAAAGAAGATTATGAGCCCAACTGAGACTGAATTTCAAGTAGTTTACTGGTCTTACCACATCAGGTAATGGGTGTAATTAGAGTTACTCATGATAACAGAAAGGTGTGGTCTGTGGCAGGCCTCAGAGGTACAGCAGTTATCTACCTAACAGCATGGTTTATTTATATCCCTCGTGTGGCTATACCCTTAATTTAAAGCTCAGGCTGTTTCTTCATGCTCTAAATAAAATACAAAAAATGAGAATGGACTATTTTGTTGACTGTCCCAAGATCTGAAAGACTGTTATGATTTAAACATTTTCCCCCTAAACAGGTGAGTAATTATTGAATTGCTTTCTCACATTACTCTAGTACAGCCAGTCAGTTAGTCCCCATGACCAAACAGAACTTGTTACCTTAAAGTACAAAGTCCCAAAGACGAGCAGCTGGGACAATAAGATGATCACAACACTACTTCTCACAACAAAGCATTGCCATAGTTTGCATTATGTATATGCTTTCACATTTACATACATACACACTTTATGCAAGGACAATGATGCTGTAAAAATCAGATTTCCCTTTTTAGTGATTTGGAAAATATTTTAAAGCTATTAGAAATAAAAGAGTATAAAATCCTAAAGAAGCTATTAAGAACAGTCCACGCCTTCCTAGACACCAAGGTAGAGTTTGTGTTCCATGACAAGAAAATACGTTAATTAGGGATCATAGAATAGAATATAAGTGGGTCTGTATTTATTTCTACTATTTCTGAGCACTGGCCAAATAATCACTGCAAGAGCTCAGTGCAGATTTTCCAAGGACGGCAGTAAATGCCATTGTCTGTCCTATGATGTGATAACAAGAAAGTTGATGCATCTATTTGGAAATACAGCTGCAGAGCACAACAGATAGTAAGAGGGGTTGAGAAAAAGATCTCTGAAGATCGTTTTGACAACACACTTCCAGGTCAGCTCATCCAGGAAGTCCTTAATTTCTCCCACGTCCCACTTCATTAGAAGCCCTTACTTTCTGCTACAATGCTGTTCTTAGTATTGGATTATAATTACGCCTTTAATAATATTAAAACATAATGGAAAAGAGTAAAAAAATTTCTTGAGGATGTGAGGCTTGAAGGGAGATAGGTTTTTCAATAAATTCAGTCCCAAAAATATTTACTGTTTTGCTATGTGTCCATTTTGTTCCTTTCCCATCGGAAAATCAAAATTATAGACCATTTGTAGAAGAGTTATTAAAATTCAAGAATAGTGCCACTAGAGAATTAGTACTTGATTGTATAATGAGAAAATTAGGTCTCTTAGTTTATTTCCTTAGCAAAAAGAAAAAAAAGCAAAATAGAAAACACGCCAAATGGATTTGCGAAGAATCACTTTTGAAATAAGCAAGGCAAACCTTCTTCACTGGAAAGTTTCATGGATTCGGCTGCAGCAGTACATCTGAGAACATCAATACATGCAAAGCAATAGCTCTCCAGTACAGATATAATTATGCATCAAAGAGATAATTTATGCATGTAACTATACCCATATGAGAAAAGAGATTACTGACAGAACATTATCAAGGCATATCTGACCTCTTTTTGCATTTTTTGCTGATATAACAAATTCACTAAGACTTCTGTTTATGTATCAGGCCATAACAATTGTTCAGTGGTGTTCCTTGATTAAGAACATTGTGGGTAAGCCTTAAGTTTCTTTTTAACCTTCCTACTACTAGTAAAGCAGTACATGTCTAGTCATGCCATGCATATTTGCTCACTTTATATTTTCCTCACAGGAGCTAGTCTTTCTATTCTCAAAATCGCTTTTGATGGTCTTTACAAAAATTTCCTCCAAACTTTATACATAGCTCTGCCATTGATTCACACATAAGTCACTGTATTCCAGGAACAGCAGCATTCAAGTATATCAAAAGCACCTCATTTTTAGCCTGGGATTAGATAGCTCTATGTAATAGATGGCATTTCTTCACCTTTACTCCCCATATGCCAAACAAACAAATCTTCCAAACTGGTGGCAATACTTTCACTGTCTTTACCTAGGACACAGTCATAAAGAAGCTATCAGAATTTACTTCTCTCATAAAATGACATTGCTGTCTTTGGACTTTTTGTGTCTCTGTAGTCCTTATTAGTGACCCTCTAACAAATACATTTTTCAGGGTTTAGTTTTATTAAATATTCAGGCAGTGTCGATTTTTTTTTCTGCTTTGACACATGTCTTGCTGTTGATTTGTTTTAGATTTGTTGGCTCAATCTGCAGCAGTTCTGGTCATCACTTTCACAACAGAAATAATCACTACCTCAAGCTGAGGTTTACATCTATAAGAGAAGACTCAAGGCTAGCAGCCTACTCAGATTTATACCAGGGTCCTCAAGTTGAAATGCAGTACTACAAGTTATTTGGCTAGCAAATGTCCCCCGATACCACAATTCCATTTTCCAAAAGAAATTAGCCTTGTTACAGTCCTATAGTGTTTTATTTAACACTCTACATCTCACCTCAGCCACCCGACTTTTAACTGTCTTCTTCTACCCAACTCCCCTCAGGAGATGCAGTAATTGGTGATTAGCATTCCAAAGCCATGCTTGCATCCTGTGAGCCTGTCATATTTAATTACATTTTAACTATATTCGTCTTCTATAATAGCCTGAACATAATTTAGATAATTATCTTTTGCTCTCTTATTCTCTGACTCTGCCTGTCTCACTTAGAGCTTCTTGCAATAAAATCACTTTCTCTGTTCAAACATATAAACAGACTCTTGGGCCAAGTGCTTTCATCTCTCCAACGGCAACAGCTGAAAACCCAATGGCTTTGTACATCTCACAATCTCTTCACCACACTCTATTCAGAGGAAGAAAAAAATATTTGAAACCGCTCTACTTTCATGTCTGTTGTCTTTTTTCTTTATTAGGCTATTACAAGAAAAATGCAAGAAATACTCATGTCCAATAGCTTGCTATTGCTATAACTATCTATAGCTCCAAAATAGCAACTCACCTCCTAAAGAATATAATGGTTTTTTCTCAGCATTTGGAATCTTTGCCTAGTTATTTCTAAGAAAAGCTGCTATCTTTCTAAAGATTTATTACATATAATAGGACCTAAATAGTGGCTCTTTCCCATTATTTCCTTCTCTTCTGGAAAGAACAAATTGAGAAAGTAGTGGAAGCTTATCTTTTATTGAGGTTTTCTAATGAGCCACAGGCACTACAGAATACTACCAATACTACCCACTCTGTGGGCTACCAGAGCAGCACCGATCAGAGCTGAAACCAAGTTCAGGCCAAAAATATCAGACAAAAGAGAAAGCTTTGTTACATGTGACTAACATTCAAAAACTGTAACAACCACATCATATCCATATCAAGGCTTGCTTTAGGCTAAGCATGTATGTTTTCAGTGTGCACATTGTGCCTCCTCACTTTCCACGGTGACGTACAACCTCCATTTTTTGTTCCTCACTTCAAAAAGAAAAGCAGTGCAGACTGGGAAACAAATGTAACATCCATTTTACTTTCTAATACTTGTCCACACAGGCCTTGTTCTACAGTAATAGTGAAACACTTCTTAGCTTATTTGAATGCAGAATTCTTCAATTGTGACTATATTTTTTTTAAAAATGAAATTTGTAAAAGCAAATGACAGGAAAAGGAAAGAAAAGATGTATTGTCTTTCCATGTATTAGTCT